TACCCCCTTTTCTCCTTGAACTTGTATTTGTATTTTATTTTACTCTCACAGATGTTTATCTGCAGGTAATATAATTTTATGCTTGAAAATCTCTTACTGATCATCCTAGTATACTTCTCTGCCACATAAATGTCATTTTCATTGAAATTTAATTGGTAAAAACATTTCCTGAGGTCATAATCCTCTAATAAGTTTCTTCCCTATTGTTACAAGTATTATTATGGCATAATTAATCAAAATAATGTACAGCATCATTTTTTGATAAATGAATTTTTATTGCAAATGAATCTCAATGCAATTGTTTGTGATTTTTCTCAATGAGTCCTATTATTCCATTCCTATTATTTTTGGAAATAGCTAAGAAAGCAGTAAAAGGGAATGGAAAGGGTTGTGCTACAGCAAAATCATTTAGTTCTTTTGGGACTCCTTCCAAATAATGTGCTAAAAAATCACGTAGTAATCATCATCAAAACTTATTCTAGTGACTCATCAGCTGACAATTCCAGGTCTTATTTTATTTTCATCAAAAGCAAGTGATTGGAAATCATCTGACTTGCAAAAAGACGTGTTACCCATTTTTTTTCATGTGAAACCTTCATAAGAATGAGTATCAATAATACCTTAATAGAAAAAAAAAAGACGTGTTACCCAATCATTAAACTTACCTACTTTCTTAATTCAGACACCAGTATTTCAATTATGTCCATTTGTCTGGACCTCTGAGAGGTTTATGCACCTGCTAGCAGTGCACCTGAGAATGATTCTTTAGGGAGGGAGAGAGGCCTTTGCTTCGTTTTGTTTTTTTCTGTTCCTACCACTACTTGGAATGATAGCTCAGTAAAGGCAAGGATATTTGACTTTTGTTCACTGCTATAATCTGTCAGACATGTAGTAGGCACTCAGTGAATATCTGTAGGATGTTATGATAGAATGTAAACATACACAGGTGTCTGGTTTGTGTATAGGGACACGGGAGGAGGCAGAAACACAGACTCAGTGCGCTGACTTGGGTCTCAGTTAAAAGGCACCAAAAGGCTGCCTTTCCCCAAATCGAAGCAGCACTGAGTAGAGAAAAGGCCTAGTCTTTGGTATCCAACCTGGGTTTGAATTCTGACATTGACATTGAATAGCTGTGACTTTGGACAAGCTCATGGTCTTAGATTCTTACCTGGGTAAAAAGGATATTGTGTCTACCTCAAGGAGTGACATTTGAGAAGGAGACAATTCAACATGATAAAGCAGGTGAAGTATCTGCACCATTGCATGCCCTCAGGACATCAAAGTGTCCTTCATTTGACCCTTGCTTCTTTTCCATTTGGTGACACCACCCTTCACTCTTAGGAGGCCAGAAATTTGCACTATTGGACTCAACCTGAACCCCCACTGCTACAGATGCTAAGCAGTAGACAAAATGGTAGAGTTAGGGGCCTCACGTGGAATCCAGAGCAATGGGCCTTAATGTACCTCAGTTTCCTCATTAGGAAAAGAGGGGTAGTAACAGCCCTACCTCATAGAGCTGTTGTTCAAAATAATGTGTCCACTTTTGTGAAGTGCTTAGAACAGAGCCGGACACACAGGTAAGTGTTATACCTTAGACTGCCTTAGGCCACTGATAGAAAAACATGTGTTACCTGGAAGAGAAGGGGTACTCCAGGGTAATAATGGAGTGGAGAATGGGGGTCTTCTTCATGGCTCTGTCTCCCATGTACCATTTACAGGGTATATCAAGATGTCACAGAGAGTCAGGTTCTACGGGAGGAATGAAAACCAGGAGGCAAGTTTCAGTGGGTGTAGCAGGGTGGGGACATCACTGGGATCTGTGACCAGAAGAACAACACATTTACATCACGGCTCTTGTCCTTCCAAAGCCCCACCCAGGAAATCCTCCCCCACAAATCCCTGCTTGCTGTTGGCCACAATCCTATAACTAATGGGCAAGATGGAGAAAACATGGAACAACTTCAAATACAGGTGTCAGAATCTCTTGGTCATGGGGAGGAAGGGCAGTGACAATGTGAACGCAAATGCCAACAGCTGTGGGTCTGTCAAAGGAAAACACCAATATGGGAGACTCAGCTGCTTAGCAATCAAGCAGTCCCTTAAGAGAAAATGTTGCCTTGCAACTGGGAATAAGCCTTTTAAAGAATTCTTCAAGGAGAAGCCAAAATTGTGCCATTGAATTTCTCAGATTGTTGAAATAAGCATTAAAATGGATAATGATATGTATGTCATGCCAGGACAAGACTTACAAAAAGAGATTCCTACTCTTGACATGCTCCATGGAAACAAAACCGTTTCTGTTGTACAAAGACACAGTTCCTTCGACACTGATAAAAAGTTTGGTACAACTGAAAGTGAACTTCAGGAAAGAGAGGCAGTTCGGCGTCAACTTTTTACATGACAGGGACAGCGTTTCCAGCCAAATCACAGGAAGTTGCTCTCTGACACAAAGGTTGCACGATACTGTGGGCTTGTGTTTTCCCATGAGAATTTAAAACAAGGACTCAAAACCCCTCTTTTGTCATAAAAGAAAAATATACCTTTCCAAATTAATGCTTGAGAAATGCCCTTTTCCTGGTGGCTCAGCTTAAGCCCCCAGATGACATCTGATTAAATAGCACATAACCTCTGTGAGCCCCCATTCAACATTTTCTGATACATTTGATCTATCTTTGGAAGATAACGAAGATCAAGAGAGAGAGAAGGTTGCTTAGTATTAAAGAAGGGGTTGACCACCCCCCTCCCCAATGCACAAATACACACATTTGAAGCCACTGCATAGGTTAATTCATTATATAAACTGGGACCAAAGATAGCTCCTGGAATAACTGAAATAAGCGGGGAGAATTCTGCAATTCCACAGGCTAATTGTGACTCAGAAGAGGACACAACCACTCTGTGTTTGCAGTCATGTAGGCAGAAGCAATGTCAGGTGTCTGGAGGCAGCCATGCTCATGTCAGCAGACAGGATGCTTAAAAAGCCCATATACAGGTTGATTATATACACACCCTTATGCATGACTTGCTTCAGATTACAAGAAACCCTGTAACTGAGGAGTGATGGACTGTTAGGAAGCAGAAGCTTTTCTTGAGGGGAAAACTGAAGCATATTTTTGTTCAGGGACTCTGAGCAAGACAACTACCTCTTCTCTATGAGCTTCTGTCACAACAGATTCCTGCATGCCCAAATTGAATGGTGGAACCACAACTTTATTTTGATTAAAGTACGATTTGTGCATATTTCGCTTGTCCACTGTAACAGGACTTTGGGACTGGAAAGACCCCAGCTCTTAAATGTTCTTTGAGCCACTGCTTCCTCTATCACTAGTAGGACTTGCCTTTGAGCCGGCAAGATATCTGTCATGGAGGCATCTGCAGATGTTCTTCGTATGATGGAATTGATGGGTTTCCTCTACCATCAGTGTTAAAATATTTTTGCAAAGCATGCCATAAACAAAAAGTTAGTGTTCACTGTTAGAACAAGAACCAGTTAAGGCAAAGTAAACTCTCCTGAAAAGACATTAATTAACAAGATCTGCTTTTATGAGCATCAGACAATACACTTTGCAGCAAGCACACATAAGTGTTAGTTTTTTTCAGCACAGTGTGCAAGCTTAGTGTTAGTATCTGTTGTGTGTGATCTGCTGTTACTTAAAGAAATGTGATGCCTATTGAGACAACAGATGATAGAGCTGCAGTGTTCAGGAAGGCTACAAAAATATTGTGTTGACTTAGCTAGCAGTTGGTTTTTAATGGCTGTAGTAATTGAGTGAGGCAAGTTGGGCATTTGCTATAAAGAATTCTATTTTTTACTGAAGAATTAATGATTAATATTGGATGAATATTTCAACTGTGGCTGTTTGAAATTTTTTTCTAAGAATTTTTTCTATAACCTTCTAAAAGTAGTGATGTTGATATGATAAATTAAGTTTTGGAAATCCAAAAAATAAAGACTGCTTTCCTTGGAAAAAAAAAGCAATTTTCTGGCCATAAAGGCATAGTACAGTTCACATAAATGTTGAAACAGTTCATACTCAGTCTTTTAATCTCTTCTGCAAAAGCTACCATTAGGTAAACCGGGTTTTCTAAATAGTAGTTCTTAAAAGTTCAAGTTTATAAATTTGGTAGTAGAATCTTAAAGGCCTAAGTATTTAAATAAAATTTAAATTATTTTTTAAATTAAAAGAGACATTTTGAATAGCTGCTGCAATGTATCCTGTGATTTTTTTTAAGGTGACATGTGCAGTCTAATAATTGATTCCTTAAAGTTGGATCTTTTCCCATGCCCATGAGGAGCTGGTGGAACACGAAGACAGTAAGACTAGCAGATGCCCAGACAAGTCAGAGAGTGATAACTACAGTGCTTGCTGCTGTTGAGATTATTGTCAATTGGTAATTAATAATTTGGATGGCAGTATTGATCTCCTTGGTGGAAACTCTCATAGCTGAATTTCTCATGGACAATTTATAGAATCTCAGTGCAGTAATTTTAATGGAAAAATCTGAGACCTCAATTGCGGATTTAAAGGTGTGGTACAACTCTTGTGTCTGTAGATAAGTTTGCTTAGCACCTTTACAGCACTTGAAATAGTACACAGTGCTACTTGAGTGAGCTATTTTGGAAGTAAATATCAAGTTCTAGTGTTTGCTTCTTAGTATTGAACGGAATTTACATTTCTGTCCTAGACATTTGGCCCTACAGCGGTCAATTCCACTCTTGTGTCTTTTTGTTAATACACTCGGAACTCCTGGCGAGTGCTCCTCAGCTTCCTAACCTGCTGCTACAGAAAGTTATTTTACATCCTTATGGCTTTTGCCAAGGCTACGAAAGAGAGAAGCTGTATTTGTATGTAATACTAACCCTTTGACTGCTGATGTATGTTCCTGCCTACTGTGCCTTGTTGTGACCACTTTTTGGGGCCAATAAAGTATGTTTGGTGTTCCTCTTGTAAAAACAGACAAAAAAAAACCCAAACCAAAAAACTTTCCTTGTGTCCCAGCAGAGAGCACGGCAGAGTCCTACTTCCTTCCTTGCCCTCAAAACCGCACAGCATCTTGGAACAACACAGGAAGGAGGTCAGTGTATTAGACATTACAGTCGCTGGGTCCTAGGAGCACGCCGTGGAGATGCCGCAGGTTTGGTTCCAGACCACTGCAATGAAGTGAATATGTAATAAAGCGAGTCAAGTGAATTTTTTGGTTTCCCAGTGTGTAATGTTAACCTTAAGAATAAAACTTACTTTTAAGTCAAAAAACTTTACTCTTAAGTTAATAGCATCTTACTACGCTTATTAACAGTGACTGCCTTGGGGTGTGTGTGAGGACTTGATAATTTGGGTGAATGTTGTAACCACAATGTTGCTCATGTGAAACCCTCATAAGATTGTATATCAATGATACCTTAATACAAAACAAAAAGATAAATCTGTCAGTTATTTACCAGAAAAAATAGGTTTATTTGGGAATAGCACAGAATTGCAATTCGGGACGAGCAAGCTATGGCAAAACCATAAGCTTGTCAGAACAAAGAAGAGTGATCTTTTATAGAGAAAGGAAGCAAGTTTGGAGACTGTTATAAGCAAAAAGTCCATTAAAGAAAACTAGGAGTCCCATGTCTGGTGGTTGCTCACTGGCTGAATTATAACAATCTTTCATTGGACTGTTGGACTGTTGCCAGCCTGTTGCTGGGGGAGGCAGAAACTCTTCCCTCCACCTACTTAGGGGGTAAAGTAGCCAAAACAATAGGAGTTGTAAGGTGTCTGTCTCTTCCTCCCTGTGGGTTTGCTATAGACTAGGAGGGTTGGGCATGAAAGCTCTCCTGCACGCCTCCCGACGCCATGTCAGTGCGGCTTCCCTTTATCAGTTTTCACAATGTAAGTTATGTTTACACTATACTGTAGTCTATTAAGTGTGCAATAGCATCATGTCTACAAAACAATGCACATACCTTAAAGGTACTTTATTACTAAAATATGCTAATCATCATCTGAGATTTCATCGAGTCATAATGAAATATTTTGAAATGTTGTGAGAATTACCAATATGTGACACAGAGAGGAAGTGAGCAAATGCTTTCGGATAAATGGCACTGATAGACTTGCTCAATGCAGGGTTGCCACAAACCTTCAACTTGTGAAAAATGCACTATCTGCAAAGTGCAGTAGGTGAAGCCCAATAAAACAAGGTATACCTGAATGCTGTCTCCCCCTGCAACCCATGACTTCCTCCAGAGCAGAGAGTTATTCTGTAAAATCACAGAGAAGCAGAAGACTCAGCACAAGTCAAGCATGCCAATGTTCCTTAAGTGAAAAAGTGTGGTGGTAAACTGATGCCATTGTGCTTTGGCCAAGGACAGCCTGCCCTGAGACCACAGGAGCCATGAGCCAAGGCTTCCTAAACACTGGAGAGGGTAAAGCAATGGCTATGGTTTCTGTCAACTGCCTGGAAGTTCCTTAAGTTTATTAAATCTGAAGCATGAATAGTTGCTAGGAACAATGCTAGAAACAAACTTGTCGGTCTGAGAACAGCCTGGATGGCACCAGGGATTTCCAGGTTATCTTAATCTCCTTAAGAATAAGTAACACCTGTTAGGATGCGTTCTTTCTTTTACATTTAATCAAAGCATCCCCTAATTTGCTGAAGTTTTTCAAAGTTCTATAACTTTGGGAGGAAAGAATCCCTCTATTACTATGACAAAGCCAGGCTTTCTAGTAAAGCAAAGGAAACACTCCAGATCGTTAACACGATTTATCTCTAGGGAGTGGAAGTACAGGACATTTGTTTTGTTTCTACTGCTTTTCCGTATTTATAGATTTTCACTTATGAACAAGTATTATTGTTGATGGATAGCTTTATTTTAACAAATCTATCATGAGCTAACAAAAAGTCTACATCTGCAGATTTAAAAATAATAGAAAATTAATTGAAACATTGTCTTGCCAATGGGTTTCAGCCCTGGGCAAGTTCACTATGGATTCAATGAGACCAGGGAATGACAATGGAACGTTTTTGGGGTGAAAGGGTTTATTCTCAGCTTTATTTCAATGGTGGCGGATCAATCACTAGAATCCCATCCACTCAGAGTGAGCCTGCACACAGCAAGCCAGTCTCTGCCTCTGGGCCTCTTACCCCAACAGCCATCACAGTCTCTGCTCTCTTGCAGCTGTGCAGCCGTGCCACAGTGTTGCCCAGAGCACTGGGTGGAGCTCTTTATATAGAGTCAGTAACAACATATTGCCCACATGTATGTAGTGAGCAAACTGACCAGGGCCAGGTGAGAATCCCGGCTGTAAGAACCCTCACTTTATCCACAAACATGAAGCTCCTCTGGCTATGTTAAATCCAATATTCAGTGCATTATGTATTTAGAAAGCTTTTGTCTCAATTTTGGGGAAAAATTAGCCGTAGACCAAATGTTGTTCTGGTCTCATGTAACAAAGCAAAAAAGTAATACCTGAAGTGATCAAACTGTTTCTAAATAATCTAACCACATCCCAGAACAAAGCTCCAGAATATTTATATGAATACAATTATACTCCAGTTCTAATAAGATAAATGTTACAGTGTCTAGAATGACTGGTCCACTATCCACTAAAAGTTAACAAGTATGCAAAGAAGCAGAAAAATATGACCCTTAAGAAGAAGAAGAGCAACCAATCGAAACTGACCCAGAAAGTACATTGATGATAGACTTAGTAGAAAAGAACATTAAAATAATTATACCTCTGTTCCCTATATTTAAGAAACTAGAGGAAATATTGAACATGTTAAGTAGAGATATGGAAGGTATAAAAACGATCATATTTGAACTTATAGAAAAGAAACTGATGATGTCTGAGATGAAAAAATTCACTGGATGGGATTAACAGCCGATTAGACATTTAGAAAAAAATCCATGACTCTGAAGGTATAGCTGCAGAAGATATCCAAAGTGAAGTATACTAAGACTAAAGAAAATAAAAAGAAAGAGGAAAAAACCAAAACCAAAACCCAGAATATTAGTTTGCTGCAGGCAACATCTAGTGGACTAATACACATGTAAATGGAATCCCTGGAGGAGAAGGGCAAGGGACAGGCTAAATATTTGAAGAAGAATGGCCAGAAATTTTACAAACATGGTGAAAACTATAAACCAAAAGACTCAAACAGCTCAATGAACCCAAAGGAGAAGAAACATGAGGAAAACTCTACCGAAGCACATCATGATCACATTGCTTAAAACCAGCAATAAAGAGCACGTTCTTAACAAAGCTAAGCAAAAATAAAAGTTCTTAATTTTAAAAGGTCATTGTTAAAAAAAAAAAAAGAGCAAATCTTAAAAGCAGCCAGACATAAAAGATGCAAAACATACAGAGGAACAAGAAAATGACAGCAGATGTCTCTTTAGAAAGCATGAGAGCCATAAGAGAGTGGAGAAACTTTAAAATACTTAAGCTGTCAACCTAGATGCTACTTAGTGAAAATGTCTTTCAAGAACAAAGATTAAATAATTTGGACATAAAAAAATCTGTACTAGAAGAAATGTTCAAGGAAGTCCTAAAAGCAGAAGGAAATGATACCAGATGGGAATATGGATCTACACATAGGAGTGAAGAGCAACAGAAATTCAACGTGGCTAAATATTTTTAAAATTTCCCTCTTATTTAAATTATCTTAAAAGATAATTGGCTATTTAAAGTACTAACAAGAACAATGTATTTGGGGGCTTTTAATATAAGTAGAAGTAAGATGTATGACAACAACAGCACAAAGGCTAAGAGGGAATATGTAGAAATACATGATTGTAAGGTTCTTATGCTATACATGAAGTTGTAAAATATCACCTGAGGGCAGATCATGTAAGTTAAATATGTATACTATAAAACCTAAAGCAATGTCTAAAACAACCCAACAAACTTATAGCTAACAATCCAACAGAAAGAATAAAATTGAATTGCTAAAAAATAATCAATCCAGAAGGCAGATAACAAAGAATGAAACATACAAATAAAAAACAAACAGCAAGGTGATAGACTCAAACCTCACCATATTAATAATTTTATTAAATACATATGGTCTAAATATCCTAATTAAAAGCAAGAGATTTTCAGTCAGAGAAAAAAGGGAGGACCCAATTATATGCCACATACAAGAAAAATCCACTTTAAATACAAAGACACAAATATGTTAAAAATAAAAGGATAGGAAAAAAAGATTTACCATGGTAATACTATTCACAAGAAAGCAGAATGGCAATATTAATCTTAGGCAAAGTAACTTTCAGAGCAAAAATGTGATCAGGCAGAAGAAGTATCATTTCATAAGGAGTGAATGAGTCCATTCATCAAGAAGACATGGCAAACCTAAATGTTGAGCACCTAAGAGCAGAGTATCAAAATACATAAGCAAAATTGACAGAATGCAAAAAGAAATATACAAATCTATAATTATTGTTGTTTTCAAAACCTCTCTCTCAATATAATTGATAAAACAAGTACATAGGGAAGCAGTCATGATTTAGAATATTTGAACAACACTACCAACCAACTTGACTTTATTGATATTCATGAAACAGTCTTCCCAACAGCAGCCGAATATATAGTCTTTCAAGTACATATGGATCATTTGCCGAGATAGACCTTTTTTCGGGTCATAAGACAAGTCTCAAAAAATTTTAAAGTGATGAAATAGTGCAAAGCATATTCTTTTCACCACAAGGAATTAAGTTAGAAATAAGTAAAAGAAAAATAAATAGGAAATTCCCCAAATATCTGAAAACTAAATAACACACTTATAAATAATCCAGGGGTCGAGGAAGAAATCAAGAGTGAAAATCAGAAAGTATTTTGAGCTGAATAAAAACAAAACATAAACATTTGTGGACTGTTGCTAAAGTAATATGTAGATGGAAATTTATAAGAAAAGAAGAGAGGTCTCAAATCAGTAACCTCAGCTTCCACTTTAAGACTCTAATAAAAGAAGGGCAAATGAAACCCAAAACAAAGCAAAGAAATAAAGATTAGAGTAGGAATGAATGCAATAAAAGCAGAAAAGCCATAGAGAAAATTAATAAAACTGGAAGATACATGAATATCAAATAAGTATATTAAAGAATTTTTAACATTATTGATCATTAGAAAATGATCATTAGAGGAATGCAAATTAAACTACAATGAGATATAACCATATGCTTACTAGAATGTCTCAAATGAAAAAGACAAAA